ACCACAGAAAGGAGAATTCTACTGCCTGAGGGTTATAATCCCTAAGTGCGGCCGAAGGCCGCCTACGCAGAAAGGTGTTCTCTGCAAAAGGTGTTCTCTGCAAAAGGTGTTCAACCCCCTTTCTTTGGCAACACAGAAGAGAATTCTACGTAGTGAGGGTTATAATCGCCTGATAATCAACTTGGGATAATTTCTTTTATTTAAAAATCCCACGTTTTTCGTTAGTTGGGTTATATTCCACTTGAAACTGCTCAGTTTGCCTCGGAAAATTACGTTTTTACCCCATTTTCAAACGGTCCCCTAGGGGTCTGTGACTGTCCCCTTTCGAATGAGGGGGGTTTGGGGGCCCCGCCCCCTCCCCCTCCGCCCCCACCCCAAAAACGGTGGGCCAATAACTAAACATTTCCCAAATTGAATTATCTACGGGTTTAACCCTTAATTAGGCGCATAAAGAAAATCACACAATTAGTCGAATGAGGTCCCCAACGAAGTGTGTATTATCAAAAATATTATAGTACACTATTATCGTTATTATTAACTTAAAAAAAAAGCAAAAACATATTTTCGACTTCAAACAAAAAAAAAAAATAAAAACTTACCTCTCCCAAAAAATGTTACGTTAGTGGTCGCTTGGGATCAGCACTCAGCGTGCAGGGAAGTCAAATCACAGGAACTTTCCCCGATTTGCAGAAAATTTCGGTTTAGTGGCAATCGGGGATTGGAAGTTTTTAGCGGAGAATTGGGTGTGTTATGTTGATAACTTAAAGCAACCAAATTAGACGAATATGTTAATTTTTAACCATTTGTCGCTATTTGGAGCGATTTTTTTTCAATTTGAATCGCCATATCTCCATAACAAGAGTTTTCCCAGACATAAGCTATATACTAGATGAAAGCTAAGGTTTTGGGCTAGACTTGAGGAAACCTAGAATAATATCGACTGATCAGTTTTTGAGAAAATGCCCGAAATCTATATTTTCAGCAGCGCGATCTTTAGTTTTCAGGCGATAACCCTATGACATATTTATATTTTATAATATACAGTAAATTTTGCTTTGCTGCCTCTATGCTTAAGTGCACATTTAAGATACCTACTGCTCCGATAGATGCATTCAACATACCTGCACATTGGCGATACCTGCCTTAAAAATTGTGCGACTAGTATCAATTATCAAAGAAAGTATTACGTTTACCTGCACTGGCCCTACAATTTCCTAATTTTGCAACCTCTTATTTATTTTACACATCTCGCAGAACAACGAAAATGGCTATCAATTTATGTAGTTATATAGATAATTAGATAACATTCGGTGAAAATTTCGCTTGCAGTAATTTCTACATGGTAAGTGCTCCGCCAATATTTGGTTTCATAGGGATTCGGATACCTTCCTCATTGAAGTAGTAAAGAAAATTCGCTTAAGTGCCTTTCTCGGTTACGTGCACAAGTTTTTTGTGCAAAGAAGGATGTGCAGCTAAGCAAAATATACTGTATTGTAAAATATATGACATATTTATATTTTATTTTATATTTTATAGAATTTTATGCTCGAAACATAATTTTGCCAGGTTTAAGTGAGTTGAACTGATGGGGACTATTTTTTTTGAGTCGCGGCCGGCCGCCAACCAGAAAAATAATTCTGCGCAAAATTACTGCGAATGGCGCACATTGTGCTTTTGGAAGACTGTATGTGAATTAATATTAGCTTTTTCGATAGAGGCAATATTTTCCACGGAAAAATTTGCGGGATTGGATTCCCTAGTCAAATCGAATAGGCGAATCATGGCACCCGATTCGAAAGCTATCGAAATTTTTTCGATCATTAATCGGTTTCCAGTTAGTAAATATATCATCTTTATCCATTTCTCATACGTAAACAAGAAGTAAAATATTCATAATCAGTTAAGACAACCATTATATAATGAATATATCATTATTTCTTTATTCGAGCTTTTCCGTGCAGATACGGCCCGACCCACCAATTCTTATTTATTAGTTTTAATTTTTTCTATAATAACATAGTGCATGCTACAACAAAAACATGTAACTCAACGTTTCAGAGTACAACTTCACAACAAGCTTTTCGGGCGGTCGGCGCTTCAGGCTTTCAGCAATAGCTGAATAGTGTAGCTGAAAGCCTTTAAAGCGCGAATCGCCGGAAAAGCTTGTTCTGGAGTTGTACTATTAGACTTTGTACAAGATTAATAACAATTCGACGAAGTTCAAACAAAGGTCATCGAAATTTCAAACTTTTTAATTGGAATTTCTAGAAAAAAATTCGGGTATGCAGTTTTATAGCCTATTCAAATTTAGTATAACATGTGCAAGTTCGAAATAGCTCAAAAATTTCTTTGGTTTTAGAGTTTTTTCGCATACCCGAATTTTTTCTGGAAATTCCAATTAAAAAGTTTGAAATTTCGATTACTTTGTTTTTGAACTTTGTCGAATTATGAAAACCTTTTACAATGTCTAAAACTTTGAGTTACACGTGTTTCGTTGTGGCATGCGCTATATTTTTCTAAAAAATAATAATTTGTTTTTTGTTATTTTTTGGCCTTTTAACAATTATATTCAACAA